AACCATGCTACAACAACCCTGTTAGGTTGGCCAGTGTCCAGGGGTGGGCAAAAGGTAGACTGGAATATATTGGTAGATCTCTGGGAGATTTGTAGTCAATTGGCAACTCTTCCAGTTGTTTTAACAATAGCAAAATGATACACAGACCTTTGGAAGTTTGACAACTGAAATTAAGACAGCTGGTGGAAACTAGGAATGGATCCATGTGTGGTAAGACTGTGAGCTCATCTCATTTCTGCTCCTGAAAAAAACCCCCTGTGCTTAAGAACTCTTCAGAGAGACCATGCTCTTTCATACTAAAGAACCTGGCTGCAGTTGGTGACTACTGGGGATTTATGTAAACCACAAGGCAGATACCAGGCACAAAAGCCTGAAGTCTGCCCTCCCCTAGTTTACTAAACATTTATGAATGTACAGGTAACTCCTTGCAACTTATGTGCATTTTACTTGCGCACATTTAGCTTCACATGCTTGGCAACAATGAGAATGAAAAGGGGGCAGGCATCCGATAGGGCTGGGGAGACTTTGGCAATCCCACCAATGAACCCAATGAGTTTTGACTACAGTCGTACCTTGATTGTCAAACACCTTGGTACTCATACATTTCGGCTCTTGAACGATTGAAAGCCAGAAGTGAGTGTTCTGGTTTTCAAATGTTTTTTTGGGAAGCTGAACGTCCGGTGTGGCTTCTGCTATTGTTTCCAGCACGCCTGCACAATCGGAAGCCGCACTTTGGTTTCTGAACATTTCGGAAGCCGAACGGACTTCCGGAACGCATTCTGTTCAAAAACCAAGGTATGATTGTATATGCAATTTTGGCTTTAAACAAAACCTCCAGAATGTAACCCATGTATGCTGAGAGTCACCCCCTAGCATAGATAGGGGGCAGAAACAACCACCACAGGTGGCACTTTCTGGAGGTGGCACAGCGGCGTAGCTAGCCCCTCAGGTGCCCGGTGCAGCGTGTGCATCCTGCAGCGAGGGGCCGGGCGAGCTGCCCATGGGGGTGGGGTGAGCCAAGGCAGGGCGCACTGCATGGAGCCTCTCCACAGTCACCCCTCAACTGTAGGGCGACTGAGGCGGTGGGCAGACGCAAGCTCCACACTGCTCAAAAATGCAGTGCAGCGCTTGCAGGCAGTCCGCCTGCCACTTCCCCCTCACGAGACATGCATGGCTCAGGCACGCTGCAGGCCCCGCGGTGTGGCGCCCAGTGCCCCCGCCTCACCTAGCTACCAGTGGCGTAGGAAGAGGGGTGCGGTGGGTGCTGGAGTTATTTTTTCAAAAAAAAGTGTTGTGAACCCATTTTTAAAAACACACACATTTTTGCCATTTTGTCACCCCCCCCCAGTGACGACACCCAGGGCGGCCCACACACCCCTTCCTACACCACTGGGGTGGCACAGCGCAGCTCCAACCCTGCGTCAAACCTGACCTGGCAGCGGAGAGAGGACATTTGGTGGCAAATTCGCTGCACCTCTCCTTGGTTGGGTAGTGCTGCACAATGATGCTGCTGAGGCAGCTTTCTTGCACCCACAGCTCCACTCCTGGGTCAGGCATGACCTGGGGCGCAGTGGGCCTCCTCTGTGCCCAGACCCCCCCCCCCGGGGATGCATTTGCCCCAGGGGGCGGTAGCATACACTCCACCTCTGGAGTCACCTGTACCTTAAATACATCAGGAACCCATATTAGATGTTCCACTGAGTTGGCACCTCCTCTGCTTAGGTTGACTATGTCAAGAGCAGTGCCACAGTGTCACCCACTGGGTGGGAATGGGGCAAGGCGCCTGCAGGGGTTCGTGGTTGGTTGCATTGCCCTCTTGCGGCAGGGGGCACACGCCTGCAGGTTGCTACCATCGCCACCCCCAAAATCCCCCCCACCTTGCTGCCACCTCACATCACCACAGCGCCATTGCTGCTCTGCCCCCTCGTGTGCTACTGTTCACCTATGCCATGAACGATCAGAAGAGCTCCAGGAGAGAAACAATTTATAATATGATATAATTCATATTCTATTGTGATTTATGGAACCTGCCACGTGCAGGTTCAGCCAGAGCCAGTGTGGCACAGTGGTCAGACTGTTGGGCTAGGGACCAAGAGACCTGGGTTGACTCAGCCACAGGGCTCACTGGGTGACTTTGGGCTAGTGGCCTTCTCTCAGCCCTGCACTCCCACACAGAGTTGTCTTCTGAGGATAAAATGGAGAGGACCATGTATGCCACCTTCAGCTCTTTGAAGGAAAGGTGCAATATAAAGGAAATAAAGGCTCGGCTGATTAGAGTGTGGTGCTGATAACGCTGAGTTGGCAGGTTTGATCCCCATATAGGACGGCTGCATATTCCCACATTGCAGGGGTTGGACTAGATGATCCTCAGGGACCCTTCTAGCTCTACAATTCTATGATTCTAAGGCTATGATCCTGTGCACATTTACCTGAGGGTCAGCTCCAAGGAACAGTGGAAGTTACTTTTGAGTAAACCTGCTTGTGATTATGTGAAGACACATTCCAACTTCCAAGAATAACTATTACCTCAAGCTTCTATTTTTTACGACTATCATTTCTGAGCCCTGTGTTACTTAAGCATCAAGCGACTTTATCATGACAGTCGCGACTGCAGCTATTGTTCATGATGTGTCACATGGGTTTGGAGCACATTTCAGGCAGACTTTTTGGGATCTATTTGTGGCACAATCCTGAAAGGTAGCAGAAGAGTCCCTTGATGGCACATTAGAGATTTAATGGAATTATTATGAATGCTATAATAATTATTGATACATCATCTAGTCTTTAAAGGGAAAAACTGAATTGAGATGTTTAAGGCTCCAATTCTGTACTCACTGCATTAGACTTAGTGGGGCTGACTTCCAAGTAGGCAGGTATAACATTGCACTATTTACATCAGCAAGTCACACAGTCCTCCAAATCTCCAGCTCCTCCCCACCCAATAAAGGCCTTTCAGGTCAGCCACTTACACCCTCCCATCTCACACTGCTTCTCATATGAACAACCAACTGAACTCACACAGATATTTTGGTGCTCCTGCTTCAGAGACCATCACAGAAAGAATCCTGCTTCCTTTTGCTTTAGCCTGCTGCTCACAAAGGCCAGGGAATAACAACACAAACTCAGAGGAGAGCTTGCAAATGCATGCATCTGATTGGGTGGGGAGGCTCTTCGTGGCCCTGCCCTGATGCTGCGGACCTTTCCGTGCATTTCTGAGGGACTCCTGGTTGGCTAGAGTTTATTCCAAGGGTAGTAAACAATGGAGGCCCTCTCCAAGCCACATCTATTGAAATGTAATTTCTTTCAGCCCTGCAGCCAGGGGTGGGACACTGAGATGATTTTTTTGGGCTGTGCTGTCCAGCGATGGTTGGCTGGCCCAGCAGATTGACAGAAACAACTCCAGAGCCTCTCTTAATGTGAGGTACAGGTAGGAAGCCGTGTTGGTCTGACGCAGTTGAAATATAAAAAATAATTTAAAAAATTGTCCAGTAGCACCTTAGAGACCAACTAAGTTTGTTCTTGGAATAAGCTTTCATGTGCATGCACACTTCTTCAGATGTTAATGTGAGGTACTTTGTTGGATGTGAATGTAAAGAGCAGAGGAGGAGTTGGGCTATAGCTTTGGAGTTGAGGGCACCCCACCTGCCTTAATGGACCAATCTCTACTGGTACAAAGCTTGATACTTCTGATGGAAGCATGATGTCCCCATTTGTAGCCGTTTTATACCTCCTTTTATACCTATGGAGTGGGTTAGGCTGAGAGTTTGCGACCAGCCCAAGGCAGGAAGTGAGCCAAACACCAATGAGATGAGATGTGTTTAGAAGGTGAAACGGCCCATGCTCATATTGTTATTGATTATCAAGGTTGGCAAAATGGTGGTTGTTTGTTGAGAGTTGTGAAAGTTGAGGCTCAGAGTATATTTTGCAATCTGCAAAAGCTTGGTTGGTTTTTAAGATGCTGCACCACATAACATATTTTGTCGCACCTTATTTTGTGTGCTTCTGTGGGGAAGGGTCATGGGACGCGGGTGGCGCTGTGGGTAAAAGCCTCAGCGCCTAGGGCTTGCCGATCGAAAGGTCGGCGGTTCGAATCCCCACGGCGGGGTGCGCTCCCGTTGTTCGGTCCCAGCACCTGCCAACCTAGCAGTTCGAAAGCACCCCCAGGTGCAAGTAGATAAATAGGGACCGCTTACTAGCGGGAAGGTAAACGGCGTTTCCGTGTGCAGCTCTGGCTCGCCAGAGCAGCGATGTCACGCTGGCCACGTGACCCGGAAGTGTCTCCGGACAGCGCTGGCCCCCGGCCTATAGAGTGAGATGGGTGCACAACCCTAGAGTCTGTCAAGACTGGCCCGTACGGGCAGGGGTACCTTTACCTTTACGTGGGGAAGGGGGCCTAATTTGGGAACTGCAGCAAAGGACTCCAGCCACCTTAATCCAACCTTTCCTGGTGGACATGAACTCTCAGAGGCGGGTAGGACAGAACAAAGCCCATAGAGGGAAAGGGTATTGATTTAGGGGGGAAAAACACCTCTGAACAGGTTGAATCAAAGAGTATCAATGGGGGAAGCACCCTTTAGTCCTCTGCAGGTTTTGGTTCTTTCTCCCATCCTCCAATTTTGCCCCTGTGTGGGTTTTGAGAAAGGGAAGGATCAGGCTGGCGCAGAGTTTGCAGCTTCCTGTCTTCAAAGGCAGCCTAGCCTTATACTCAGCTCTGCCCAACAGCGTCAGCTGGGCGGAAGCACCAGAAGCATAACATCCAAAAATGGCTGGTAGAGCAGAATATGTGGAGCAGCAAGGACCTTGCTGGGCCTTAGCTCCTCTCCAGCGGTTTTCTATTTCTAGATTTCATAATTTGGCATCACAAATGTCTTTAAAAACAAACAAAAATAATTTCTCATTCATAGAAAAATTACTAGATGGGTTGGTAGGGAAGGAGGTGATTAAAAAAACAACAAGCAGAGCTTTGAACAAAGTCCATATCTCCCCAAGCCCACACTTACCCCTTCCTGGCATTTGCACAAAAGCATCGTCTCCAAAATGTCCTGAATGATCTGAAAAGCAAAATTATAGGAATTTAAGTTCTGCACAACAAGGAAACCTGCACGCACACTTGGTGTGACACCCAGAATGCTGAATTCACCTTTTAAAGTCATCTTGGACATCAGCCACAGTGGCCCTCTCCTCTTGTGGGCCTGCCTCCCTCTTCTCAAGCATCACAAGTCCCTTCCAGTGCAGTTCAGGGCCAGAGCTGATTGAGCGCAGCCTGCGAGGTGCATCTTCTGCCTCTGTGCTGTCTTTATTGCTGACAGTCTCTGCAACACGGCCTAATTCCTCCCAGCGGGCTTCCTCCACACTGGGAATTAGAGGTTTAGAGGGGAGCATGCCGAGTGAGCTGGGTCATAGCGGTGGATCTCCACCCCACAGGGCCAGGCAGGAGGGCTGTGGGATATTCAAGCAATCGCCTCTCTGCCTGGCCCCTTACTCTAATTTGCTCAGTGGTAGCCTAAGTGCTTGACAAGCAGTTTCTTTCTGTGGAGTTTGTCCCTCCTCCCCTCACTTGTCACGGACGGCACACTCTTTCTTGGCTCCAGACTTCCTCAGTATGTCACTGTTTACTTTTAAAAGACAGCGAAACTGGAACGAGAGGATTCATTTCCCCTTTTCGACATGGGAATGAGCACGTCTGATGCTATACAGTGGCACCCGCCTCAGACAGGACAAAGCAAGGTCCCACAAATTCCTCACATGGGATTTAGTAGCGTAGCTTTGAGATCAGATATGACAGTTTCTCAAGCCCAAGGCAAGTCTTACCATTAAGCAAAGCAGGTCACAGCCTCAGGTGGGTAGATGCGGAGGGGCAGAGCAACGGTGGCAGTTCTGCCCCCCGCCCACCCCTGCCATTCCTCCTGAGCCCTCTCCAACATGGATAGGCTGCACATGTCATTCCTCGTGGGTAAATGCAGGGGGGAAAAGAGAACAGGGGATTAATTGTCTTATAGCAAATACTCAGTACTAGACCTGCCTCAGTTCTTTGGGGCTTGTTGGGTTTTATTTGGCCCCATTGAAAGAGAAAGCAGATGGCATAGTGGTATAGTTTACGGTCTACATTCTGCTCTGAAAGGAATTGTTTGTGTAATAATAATAATAATAATAATAATAATAATAATAATAATAATAATAATATATTTATACCCCGTCCATCTGGCTGGGTTTCCCCAGCCACTCTGGGCAGCTTCCAACAAAATAATTAAAATACAATAGTCTGTTAAACATTAAAAGTTTCCCTAAACAGGGCTGCCTTCAGATGTCTTCTAAAAGTCTGGTAGTTGTTTTTCTCTTTGACATCTGGTGGGAGGGCGTTCCACAGGGCAGGTGCCACTACCAAGAAGGCCCTCTGCCTGGTTCCCTGTAACTTGGCTTCTCGCAGCAAGGGAACCGGCAGAAGGCCCTTGGCACTGGACCTCAGTGTCTGGGCTGAATGATGGGGGTGGAGATGCTCCTTCAGATATACTGGGCTGAGGCCGTTTAGGGCTTTAAAGGTCAGCACCAACACTTTTAATTGTGCTTGGAAACGTACTGGGAGCAAATGTAGATCTTTCAAGACCGGTGTTATGTGGTCTCGGCGGCCACTCCCATTCAGTAGTCTAGCTACCACATTCTGGATTAGTTGTAGTTTCTGGGTCACCTTCAAAGGTAGCCCCACATAGAGCGCATTGCAGTAGTCCAGGCGAGAGATAACCAGAGTGTGCACCACTCTGGCGAGACAGTCTGTGGGCAGGTAGGGTCTTAGGCTGCATACCAGATAGAGCTGGTAGACAGCTGCTGTGGACACAGAATTGACCTGTGCCTCCATGGACAGCTGTGAGTCCAGAATGACTCCCAGGCTGAGCACCTGCTCCTTCAGGGGCACAGTTACCCCATTCAGGACCAGGGAGTCCCCCACACCTGCCTGCCTCCTGTCCCCCCAAAACAGTACTTCTGTCTTGTCAGGATTCAACCTCAATCAGAGTGTTAATGTGCATGTGGGTTGCACAGATCCAATTTTTCCATGTGTTCTTTAGTGCAGATTCATTTACACATGAGCACTTTCAGTTGAATTCTGCCTCAGCATTTCCCGTCCACACTAGTGGAAGTATTCAAAGTGTGGACTTGTCTACCATCCATTGTGTGGACTTGTTTACCATTCATTTAAAGCTGCCAAGAGTCCAAGATTTCTGGGCATTCTTCAGGTGGTGGGCTCTCAGTCAGAACCCATCCCTCAGCACCTTCAGAGCCATCACAAACCAACCAGTATTTTATGAGTCTGACCAGTAAAGCCAGTATCAGGGACTGGGCAGAGGAGGAATGGTGGAGACCGCCTCCCCAGCCTGACCCTTCCAGAGAAGAGGAAGACAGTTCTGTATTACAGCAGGGGTTTGAGGGAAGTCACAGCTCAGAGGCAGATGAGGGGAAAAGCTGGTAAATAATGGGAGAGGAGGAGGAGGAACAGGAAGCACCAGCAGAGTGACAGGTGATAGACACAGTGTCTTTAGAAAGCATTCCATACCGCCCCCCTCTCCCAGAACCTAGTGAGCCTTGAAAGTAGGATAGCAAAGAGCTCAGAAGCAGAGGGCCCTCAGCACCACCAGTAGGGGAGATGATGACAATGAGGAAGTGGGAGAAAAGGAGGGTGGAGAGTCACTTGGGACAACGCTATTATCCCAAGAGGCTGTGTTCCAAGCTTCTCTCTGTAAATATTGAATAAAAAGGTAAACAACGTTTCCGTTGCTGCTCTGATTCGCCAGAAGCGGCTTAGCTGTGGCCACATTACCCAGAAGCTGTACGCCGCTCCTTGGCCAATAAAGCGGATGAGCGCCGCCAACCCAGAGTCGGTCATGACTGGACCTAATGGTCAGGGGTCCCTGTACCTTAAGGGAACTTTTCCCTTGTTTGTAATTCCTGGCCAACCGGCCATGGGATTGCTTACTGCTGCCTGTCAGCCAGGTAGTGTACAACCACCAGTCCTGAGATAATGAAAAGTTGGCAAACTCCAGATTCGTGCAGTTCTTCTCTGGTCTCCCTAGGTGCTGCCAAGCTCTGCTCTTTGCCTACCCGGTTCTGTCCAGGATCAGCTAAGCTGATTTTTGCTTCTGCTTCCAATGATTCATGATGATGAGATTTATTAAATTTGTCCATTGTTTTAGCTTTGCCAGCGGCAATCCAAATCAACTTACAATGCAAAGCAAGTATGGGGAACTCCCTATTGCAAACAAATCCTACGAGGTGCCTGCCTGTGCCAATCAGCCCATTTGCCAAGCCCGTCAGGCTCTCCACTGTCCTTTGCTCCACCCTCAACCTGCCAACACCTGATGTCGCATGTGGCTTGAGGAAATGACCCAACGGGCCAAACTAGGCCCCCAGCCTGGAGGTTTCCCAATGCTGCTCAACACACCTGCTCCCACCACTCCCTTGCTCATGGCTGGTCATCTGGCAGGGATGCAGCAGCAGGTGTGACTCCTCTCTCCCACCACACCATTATGATCACAAGGAGAATAATGTTCAAATATGGCTAAAGAGGCATTCTGCGTGTGGTGAAAGATCCTCTGTCCTGGGAACAAATGCCTTGAAATTTAGTATGACCATCTTTGGAGTACTTGCACCACATTTTAGAATATACTTCACTGTTATATTTTCTCTTCCCTCAAATGCCTCTACTCTTTGTTTTCTTTTTCTAATCACCTGTTGTTTTCAGAGTCACTATGAATGGCCGTGGGCCACCATCCTTAGCGAAATGAATCTAACCAGGGTGGCATCTTTCGAGATCACCATGGCATCCTCGGTTTTGCCCATGCAGCAGCTGGCTGAGCAAGGAACCTAGGAAGCTGCCTTATGCAGAGTCAGACCATTGGCCTGTCTACTCAGTCTTGTCTTCATTGGCTTGCACAGGGGACATTCCCAGGGTTACCTAGAAGTGCTGGGGATTGAGCCCGGGACCTTGTGCATGCAAAACAGTTGCTTTACCACTAGACTAAAGTCTCGTCTTTGGCCGGGCAAGATCTCCCTTGCAGCAAAGCCCAGAATCCATCCTCTCCCTTCTCTCCGTAGAAGCAGAGCATTTGGCCTGCTGGAGTGGCAAACAGATGCTGCTGCACTTGGTTTGAGACAAGAGGCAAAGAAGAGTTGCCATGGAAACAAGCTATATATTATTTAAGGAAGCACTGAGGTAAGCAAGCCTGCGAGCTTCACATTAGCCTCTCAGCAAAGAGAGCCACACTCCCCCTGCAGATGAAAATCACCTTAAAAAATCCCAGATTGCCTTGCCAGGGAGTCCCAATAACTATTGGGTTTGAATTTTCATAATAATAGGGGCTAACAGATGAAATTGTTAGATTCACAGCTTGAATGAGGAATAGGTACTAAGAGAGACAATTATTTATAGACTGATGAGTAAGACAAACTATTCGGTTGGGATGCTGCTTTGGGCAGCAGCTAGATCTGGCTGGTTTCCACCTTCCTTCTGAGAGTCCGACCGCTGAGCCTGCCTGCTGTCCCCCTGACTGTGCCACCGATTCTGTCCTCATAGCTCCGACTCCTGCCACTGCAGGCACGTCCCGAGGCAGGGCTCTGTGAGTGCTGCAGTCCCAGCAAAATGCAGGGGAGCCGCAGAACCCCGCTTCCTGGGAAGGTCAGTGTAGGATGGCAGTCGAATGCCCTTCACTTGGTAGCCGTGTGGCCCTGAAGCCTAACTTGCCTGAGTGCGTGGGTCTTGGCCACACGAGCACAGGTGGCCCAGTCTTTGTCTCCCCCGACACAGGAGAGAAAGGAAGAGGAAGGCTCCTATCAGGGCTGGAATGAGGAGCATGAAGAAGGTGAGGCCCTCAGGAGCGTCAAGGAGGGCAGCAGACTCTTCAGCCTCAGGCTACAGCAACAGGGAAGCACTTTGCAGGAGCCCTGAGACTCTTCCTTAACCCCTAAAGCTATGAAGGTGCTGAAGGCAAGGTGAGATACCACACACGCAGCCCTTTGTCACCTCATCCTCCTTGTGCCAACAGGTTGGAGGGCAGAGCCTTTGGCTTCCTGAGATTTGGGGCTGTGACCTCCAAGGGCCAGGTCTGAGCCCTCCCTGCCCCAATCTCATTCACACCCATCTTTTTAAGAAAGCAGGTTTCTAGCTATTGTTGCAAAGATGTGCCTGAGCATATTTGGTAATGCTTGTTAAAAGCTTAGAAGCTGAAGAAGTCGCAGGATCTACTTTCAAATGACCACGGCTAGCCTTCAGTGCCTTGCACAGCTCATTGCTCTTCCCCATGACTATGGCAAACTAAGGGAAAAAGATAAAAGGAGGGCAGCACATTTGTTCAATTTACACAATTTATGCAGGCCACAGAATTCAGTTTCAGCTGTTGCAAAAATGTAATTTGCGTAAGATGGACGAACAGCCCTGCCTGCTGGCAGCTGAACGGTAGCAGTTGTGAGGCAACGGAGCAGTGGGGAAGGAGAACAGCAGTCAGGCAGCACCTTCTTCAAGTCTCTGAATCCTTGAACTTGAAT